GAAATAAGCCACATGGTAACCAGCTCTGCATGGAGACAACTTACAGCATAAACAGGAAAGTGTCACAAAAAACATTCCTATCATTTGAGAAAACTTCCAGAAGGCCTATACTGTGCTTAATATGCTGTTAAAACATAATGAAATTATGTGAGATTCCAAAGGTTCCTTAGTAAAGGTACAGCACCTTGAGCACAGCATGTTACAAATGCAATACAAAACCTTGCTGGAAGGCCTGATCAAACAGAAGACTGGACAGGCCATGAAACAAGGAACTTCTGGCCTATCTTGGCACACAAATTGGGAACAAGTTCAAAGGCAGCAGGAAACTTTACTGCAAGATCATGCTGATTTTAAGTGTTTTAAACACCTCAGTTTTATAGTATTCCTATGATTTCAGCACTGCAGAAAAAACAACTTTATGTCTAATCCAGTATCTAAAGCGAATGCCTGAAACTAACTCAGCAAGCTTGAGCATCTGTGTAGTCTGGGGTAAACAATTTTACTTTCACAATGACTACTTCATAAGCTTTACAAGCAATCCATCAGTTTAAATTAAAACTAAGTATCTGAAGTGCAAGTAAAACCTTGACTGAACTTTTTCAAACTAAATTATAAAAAATTCTTTCCATGTTATGTCAAAACTGTGAAGTGATGGAAGTTAAACAGACGGGGAATGGATAGATAAGAGAGGCAAAGTCAGCAAATGTGGTATTATTTTAGACTGTTTGCATCCTCCCTGGGTTCTGGTAGTAAGATAACAAAAAAAAAATACATCAGCAGGTGGAAAGTTTATCTATCCGTTGAAGAGCTTTTAAGTCAGTTATCAAAATACTACCAATTATTAAGAGTTATTTCTCCTTAAATCATTTCTCTGCTTCTGAGCACCAAAGTCACACTTGAGAGTAAAAAGGTAAAGCCTCAAGTCTTTCTCATGTTGAAACGAACTTGCTGGCATGCAAAAGTATTTCTGTAAGTTTTCCATGAAGTCCAGTATTAGTCATTTGCTTACAGAATATGTACATGGCAAAAGAAATATTGTGAGCCTTTTATCAGCAGAAAAAAGCTAAACTTGGATATCATAACCAAAACAAACTCTTCGTTTTTCCTGTGAAATGGCAGCAAGCTGAATTAAGATTGGTACGTTGCAACAGTTCCATCACAGATTAAAAGAGGAGAGGAGCTACAATTGCAAAACCTATTATAGCTACAAATACAGATTATAGAGGACAGAGGAACAAACTGGAAATTCTTGATTTTAAACTCTGGCACTGCTCTACAAGGCAATGTGCTGCATGAATTCACAGAATCTGTACAAAACACATCCTTCTTAGGCCTGCATTTCTACGTTCCTTTAAGACAAATTGTAACAACTCCACTGCTGTTTATGACTTGAACAAAAGACACAACACAATATACATTTGAACTGTTTATTTTATATCAAATGTTCCATACCAGTTTCTTCTGTTAGAAGTTCCTAGAAGAAAATGAAACAAACATTGTTAGAAACTATTTAACAGCTCAAGTAATTATTTGGCCAACTGTGTAAACACCCTGTAAATATAGTGTATAGATTTTAACCTAGAAGTTGAATTTAGGTACTGAATTACTTCTACAAAAGTTATTGAGGATAAGGTAAAAATACTTACTTGGAAACAATTCCATCATTTTTTGCCAGACGCAGAATGGAGTCATCTGATTCTCCCTTTAATAAAAAAGCGAGCACATAATTGCTATCACACATTAAAAGAGAAGCAGCAGCAGCATTTCATGCTGGCAGTGAAATGCAAGCTTTTTTTTTTTGACAGATCACTGCATTACACAGACTACACATTACACATACACAGACTAGCATTTTTAAAACAAGCTGTTAAATCCTTTGCCATTCTTCAAAATATTAAATAGAATTTGACAAAACAGAGACTTGCGTTAAAAAGATGTACTTCTGAGTAAATGAGCTCTAGGAAGCTTCACATCATGCTTACAAATTTAAGTTATGATAGTAAATCTCTAATAATTATAAACAAAGTCAGATATCAGTTGCTTAGTGCATTCTTAGAGGAAAAAAATCCACTTGCATCTTCTAGTGATTTTTAAAAATAACAACAGTAACAAACATAAATGGTTCTCCAAACCAATGAACTGAGGAAAAAACAGAAGAAACTCATTCTTGCAAGTGAATTAGTTCACATATTCACACTGCTGTCATTATCCCAACAAAAGTTCTCCTCTAGAATGTGCAGAAGGCACACCGCATTTCCAGGGCCAGACATAAACCTAAAATATTACTAATCAATATAAAGGGAATCATGATCATTTTTGAGCTCAGGAAAACACTTACCATCCTACGGATTGCTCCACAAATGGCGTATGTCTTGAACTGGCCATTGACTCTCCCTGTTACCTTGTCAACCTGTAATTACAAGCAAATTACTCCATAAAGATTCTTACAGAGTTCTTGCAAAATTTTAAGCTCCTACATTATGCTTGCCAAAACCTTGGAAATAAATATTACTTGTTCAACTTTGTAAATATTTTTTACTGCAGACTTCAAAAACTCAAGGCAAATAGTTCAGCTAGTATACAGAGGACCTTTTAATTTTATTTAAAATAAATTAAAAAAATATTTTTTGCTATATAATGCAGGTATAACATCTAATGGATCGGACAGCATTAAAAAAATGCAATAGAAAATGGTAGCTCAAAAAAGAGAACACTGGAATTTTATAGAAATGAAACAGTTCAATGTAAACCTGATCAGTGTACTTTACTGTCTTTATTATTATTTTTTTTTCATGTTTAAGTCAGTATAATTGAAAATAGAGGTCAGGGATGGAAGGTGACAGTGTTGTTGAGGGACACAAATCGTTCTAAGCATTTAAGAACCTGAGAACCAAGTTAAAGAAACGGTAATGAAGCATACAAAACACATAAGCAATCTAATTTCAGTTAACAGAGAACTCATTTCAGCGTTAACAGAAATGCTTCACGCAAAACATAGAAAATGGTGCTTTAATTACGCAAAGCAGAACAGAAAAAGAGTTCTACCTGGGAAACTGCACCTTTCTGAAACTTGGTACGAACTGTAGAGAGCACAGATCAAAAAGAATAAAAAATTGAGACTGGGTGTACGTGGACAGGCTGAAGAACTGTGCTGTCTTACAGACAGGTGAAGGTAGAAGGGCTACTGATCTTCCAGAATTGAGCACTCTGTTTTCCGTTTCCTTCAGGAAAAGGAATCCCCTCATTTTTAACTCTAAATGTATATCCTTGGGAAGTTTTATTTACTCGGTTAAGCACTGGAACAGACTGTTTTCAGAGCTTTATATAATTGTACAGAATTACTTTCCAATAGGTTGAAAAATAACTATGGGTGACATGCCAATATTCTTGCATATACGAAATCTTTCTAGTTCTACACTTGTATGACTCCTAGTGAAGTATTTGGAGATTCATCACAAGCTTTTACATTTCTTAAATTCTATGAAATGTGTTGCTCTTTTATTTGTTGCTTCTATTGAAAAACTTACCTCAGAAATGTTTATCTGAATAGAAGCATGATCCTTGGCACCAATAATTCGGTTGCTAGCAGAGCTAAGGAAAAAATAACAAGATATGTTTCAATAAAAGGAAATGGACAGCTGCAGCAAAGACTATTAAAATCAAACCTACAGGAAAATTAAAACTGTGCAAGTTCAGATGCTAAGAGATTAAGGTTCATTGCTCAGAAAGCCAAAAACAAGTTTTAAGAACATTTAACGGAAAATTTCACTGGGTAGAGTCATGCTAAATTGCCAGCTATGCCTTTAGTTTAATCTATACGAACCCAGTTCATTACTGTTCAGCGCACAGATAAGCACTGACCACCAGAATATCACGTTGTCCTTTTTTATGTGCAAAATCCCCAGCGATCGATGGAAACCGTGATGTATTTTCTGTGTCTCTTTTCACTGGGAGCCAGTAGAGCTCTCAGAAGACATTCAGGTCACTAACTTTAGTCCTTTTAGAAATCGTAGACTTTAGCAATGCTTTCTCCATGTCTTTTATTAGATTTAACAAAACCCAATTTTCTCTAATCTCAAAAGAGCATCAAAGATGCAGTATCAAGACAATGAATAATCCCTGAACAAGTTCACTACAGGACCGTGTAGCTCAGAAATGCTCGCACAGCACCAATACCCCCATCTTCTCCTGAAAGCAGCCACCACATCCCGAGACTGACGGGCTGCACCTCGAGATGCTGCGAGCTCTCTCCAAACGGAGTTTTCCTTACCTATCCGCACAAAGCGAGCATTCTCTCCAAATTCACCTTCCCCTTTACATACTTACACAAAATTCTTATACAGAAACGCGAACAGAAATTTATATTTTTCCACCGAACGCAGCAAGCTAATGGTTTACGGATCCAAGCCGCTGGCTGTTCGGAGCTGTGGGTGCCACTCACCACTTGCGAGGCACGTAGAGATCCACGAACTCCCCGGCGTCGTTCTGCATCTCGCCCGCTGGTCCCTGTGGGAAGCGAGGCGCGGCTCATGCCCAGCCCCACGAGGCCTTGGGGGGGGGGCCCACGCAGCGCTCCCAGCCCTCCCGGAGCCCTCCCTTGGTGCTCCTCCACCCCTCTCGGTCCTCCAGGACCCGGTTCCCAACCCCGGGCCGCCCCCCCCGGGACCCCCGAGCCCTCCGGGTGCCGCTCGCGCCCCGCTGCTGCCGCCATACCTCGCGCGCGGTGCTGCGGAAAGGAAGGGGCGGCCCCGCGGAAGCGGAAAGGCGTCAGAGGGAAGGGGGGGGGGGGGGGGCTTCCGGGGGGTGCTGTGACGTCAGCGGTGCTTTGGGAGTGACGTCACTGCTCTTAGGGGTGGCGTGACGTCATCAGGGCACTTTGCCTGCTCCCACCCCCCCCCCCCCTAGTCGTGAGGGGCCGGGAAGGGCCCTCAGCCCCCGTTGTGTCCCCCCCCACACATACACCCCCTAAGCACAAGCCCCAGCAGCACAGCACGCAGGCGTTTGGTTACAAAACACGTAGAAAAGGGGTTTATTTCACAGCATTTCACAGAAAAGGGCACGGACAGGGAACAGGCAGCAAACGAGGACCTTAAATAACGCGCTAGGACAGAAACCGTGACAGAGGCGGGCGCAGACAGGAACATCTCGCTCCTGTCACCTCTACTGGGTGCTGGCTGCTGCCCTCTGAGGTGACCGGAGCAACTTGGGGAGAAGTTAACATCCAAACACGCTTCGTGAGGGTCCCCTCTCGGTTTATCGATTGGTAATGCAGGAAGAGTCCTTTGCCACACGGTGGCAGCTTTTAGGTGAGAAGTATTAACACACAGGCAGAACCCAACAGGATGGGGAACTAGCTCAAAATTCAACTCTAGCTACAGAGAAATAACAGACACGCACAGCTCGGGTGCCCTGCAGAAGTGGCAGCTCCTGCAGAGGCACCACACCAGAGGTACCCACGTGCAAGGCGCAGGCCCAGCAGCTGGATGCTGTCATGGTGTCCTGAGCTTCACTGCTCAGAAACGCTGAGCCAACCTTTAGAGTTCCCTTTAACCAGCATTCTGGCATTTAGTATTCCTTACCCTAAGCTGTTCTTCTGAAGAAAATGCGAACTAAATAACCAAAGGCCAAAGCTTTCCCATTTATATCACGTGAAACCCAATCTTCCATTCTGGGAGGGGAGCTCTAGCCCAAATGCCCACTGCAACTAGATAAACTTCCACTGAATAGAGACTGGACTGCTCCAAAAATAAATACATTTTTCTCTAGATGGCTGAGAACGTTACATTACAGAGAACTTTATACACTAAATAAAAGGAAATCCCCGGAGAAGGTAATTTTGTGGCTTCCTTTACACTAAATGAAACGTTTTACTATTTCTGGAGATACCTTGTGAGGAGTTTCTTTGCTCAGTTCTAGCTCTTCCCCCTCACACAATGAGTATAGGAAGTGGTGGACCACTTTAGTTGCGTTTACCACATTTTTCTAATTTCAAGGCTCTCTATACTCTAGATGTTCAGTACATTGCTATTTCTTGCATGCAATGACAGTTATATTCAGTAGAAAGCTGAACTAGTAGACATTTTTCTAAACTTTTGGAAGATAACTGGCAAGGTTATTGTCTAACTTACCGCCTACCATCTCACTTACAGAGACTGGAAAGTCCTTCTGTGTTAAAGAGAAGTCAGTATCATTAAGTTTACACAAATAACTTGAAGCTACATACAGTTGAACACACAAAAGATTTGATAGTCACTGTAGTTATTATATGAGAATATACATTTTGAGCCCTACTTAAAGAAGAAAGGGCTCCAGTATAGTTCTGGTGCAACTCTAATGACGACAAATTAGCTTCAGGCAAAACACAGCTGAAGAACAAAGATTCAGCTTTGTTTTTGCCTAAAACCAACATTTAATACAAGGAACAGCAATTTACATTACTTTACATATTAGATAGCAGGTAACCTTATGAGGTCTAGTATTTCATTTAGGAGTCAAACAAATTACAAATTTCTCAGTCATAACAGCCAAGCATCAGTTTTGTTTCTTGCAAATAGACAGTTACTTGTATCATAATATTGCTTCGGAAAATAAAACCAAGAGCCAGTATCACAGAAGGTTCCACATATAATCAGAGTTCATTCCCAACCTGGATATTTTAAAAATAAATGAAGGAATAGCCAATGGTCAAAGAAGTTATTTAACCTCTGGCATAACCATGAGAATGCTGCCTGGCACCAGCCGTTAAGTGGCTGTTCCGATGTGCAACAAATGCTAGTTTTGAGGACCATCACAGTGACGCAATTCTTGGAAGAACGGAATTAAAAAAGTAGCATTTTAAATATTGAGCATGCTTTGTTTCACTGGCTTAGTTTGGCAGGAATAGCTCCACTGACTCATGTACTTGCTCAGAGCACTAAGACCATATATAATACAGTCATACTAAAAAGGTGCTTATTTCAGACTACAAAACACAAATGAAACCCAGAAATTATACATTTTACAGCAAGTAGTTCTTAGTTAAAAGCACTCATCTTCCATTTAAGAGCGAATTAGGATGGCAATCACTCTGCAGCTACCTTGTTCAACAGGTGGTATTTCATGACATTTTGAACCAATCTTTACTTTTTAAATAAAGTGTATAATCTTAAAATACTATAGTTAACTAAATTGAAACAGTAATTTCAATCTAGCTATAGATAGTATAGATGCCCCGTGTATCATTAGTGCAGATATACTGGAACTGTTTTCCTATATGCAAGGCCAATGCAGGTAAAGAATAAATGGCTATATAAATTCAGGATTTCCCACTAAATAACACAACTAACTTAAAAAATACCGGTACCAGACCAGCCGGTTTTAGGCACATCTTCAAAAAAAAAAAAGTATGTGTTTCATTAATATAAAAAACACAAAAAGATTCTTAGAAACATATGAACCTTATGGTGCACTGGAATGGAAGTGATGCTTCCTTTAGTTTCAAGGACTACAATAAAGGATTAAAAAAAAAAAAAAGAAACAATACCATAGGATTCTTCATACGGAAGAACAGTTTTAGTCAAACTGAAAAGATAAATAAGGAATAATCAGCAGCCATAACAGCTAACTGGTGAATATTTGTGCTTCAAATGTCCAAAAGAAAATACAGTTCAACGACTCTTCTCGTACCATCTCCCAGTCTTGGCATACGTGTCCATAATGCACACCTTGACAGTTCACACCCATGTCGCAGACTTCAAAGCTAGCTGTAGCCACAGCAGGATGCACAGTGGCACAGAACGGCCAGTGGCAGCTTCAGCAACTGTGTTCAGTGACGCTATCAGCTGGAAAGTAGCTTTGGTTAAGACTGTTGTGTGAGCCGTCTGTAATGAGGTAAAACTTGGTTTTCAGGAAGATAGAGAGCCAGTTCCAAAGCTACAAGGACGGTGAATTCAAAAGCAATGAGATCTCTTCTGTTGAATCTGAATCTCTCTTCTAATTTCTATGATGGCAATGAAAAAGAGAGGGGGAGGGAAAAAACAGAATCAGTTATCCACAAGATACCAACGTACTATCAGATTAAGTCTGCATCACATATTCCAGCTTTATGCTAAGTCAGAGAATCAAAAGCATTGCCACAGATCAAAAACGTAAACGGCCTTATTAGCTCAGCTGTGACACCCACACAACAGTTACTGTTTCTCAGGCAAACATTAAATGAGAAAATAACCTCACTGTAGGATCCATAGGACATTAGACTGCCATCAGTCAGGTACTTATAATGAATTAAAAATAAGCATCCAGAAGGAAAAGCTGTGATGAGAACAAAAACCTACTGAAGGAGCTGGTCTTGAATGCAAATGTGCTGCTAAAAATCTTGCTTTTCATCTTTACCTTGTTCCATGAAACAGAAAGGTTTTGACCAAACCTGAAACAAGTTGCATAGTACTTACATCTATAAGGTGTTTGACTTCGTGTTTCCTGAGGTCACTGCTGATCTTGGCTGCAAGCAGAACGCAAGCACCAGCACACAGTTTGCGGTTCTGTTTGTTAAGTTTGCCTTGGAGAACAAGCTTCTCAAAGTAAACGTAAGCCATGGACACAGTAACTGGCTCCAGATTGCATTCTTCACTCAGATTCCGCATTTCTCTCTTTAAACTGAGAATAGAGGGGAAAAAAATAAAAAAGATCCACCCTCTCAAACATGAGAGCTTTTATAAAACACTCTAGAAGCACCTCAGCATGGGAACTCAGAAGAGCATACAGGCAAGGCTCCTAACTTAGAAAACCATGACTGGTATTACCTTCAGCTGGAGAAGCCCAGCTGGAGCTGATAACAAACTGATTTAACCTGGCTGACATCATCTACTGTGAAAGAATACACAGGCTGCTGCTGTATGGCTCCTTCTGAGATCCCGAACTTGTTCATGATTCATATCATAAGACTGAACCATGCTGGCCTACACAATGCCACATCAAAGATGTGCAGATGGAGACCTGTCTACCACACACCTCCAAGGAAAATTAGGTCTGAGGGGGAAGGCAAATTAGTTTACACCCTTCTCACAAAAGCTACCCTTTCACTTCAGCAAAAAGGCAAACTTTATGCTGGACGCTCTTTCACTGCTATCATCCATGCTACTCCTACAGAAGATCTCTCTGCAAGCACACATTTGAAACAGCTACAAAAAGGAGCATGCAGGACACTGGCAGAACACAGTCTGAAAGAGCAAACCTTCCCCTCGCAGCTGGGAGCTGCACACAGCCCCAGTGATTCAGCAGTATTGTGTTTTAAGCTGGCTGTTTCAGAAGGCCCTGACTGTTCTCTGAAGGCGCAACAGTGCATCTCACTGGTGAATACTCAGATGTGTTTACTGGAAGGTGAGGAATTCTGTGTGCATAGTCCTGCCTTCACGAGATGCTTTTCTTTACCATGACTCCACAGACCTAACCTTCTTCTTTATTCTAGAGTCCTGTTAGAGTCTACAGTGATCAGCACGTCTTGTAATTGAAAGGTGAAAATAGGCAGAGGGTCCATACTGGTTAAGAGCGGGACTGCACAAAAGCAAAATAATCAGGTTACCAGTATTTGTTTCAATGCTATTGCTGCTTCACTGTTAATTGGCTATTAATGTTGATGAAACAAAACCCATCTAAGCTGAACAATGAAAACCAACTGTTACCCTTTTCCAGCATCCTAAACATCCCTGTACAAGGCTGTCATCCTACAGTCAGCTCAACTGGCAACAAGAGATTAGTATTTAATCATATATACTATTAATAGATCTAGTATTTGCTCCATACAAGTGGAAGATAAGTCTCCAACAGCGTAGAAGTTCTTACTATTCACTGCGTGTTTCTTACCTCCTAATTTTGCTCAGCGTCAACTTGATGTGAGGAAACTTCTCCCTAAAGGTTTCGTTCATATCCTTCTTCAGGTCTGAGGGCTTCACGTATTCTATGACCGTTGTCTGAAACACAGGATGCAAAGTGTATTATTTCTCTTGTGAACAGTACTGACAGCAAAACAAGGTTTCCAAGGACACTTTAGTGCAAGGGCAGAACATTTTCTTTAACTCTTAAATTTCCGTAAAGACTTATGTAATACCTCAGGTTGAATTTCAGGCACATAAAATCTTAATTTGTAATTAACCAGTAAGAAAATGGTTACAATAAATAAGCGACAACACAGAGATATGTCAAGTTGGTCCTTGACAAACACAGTGTACAAAATGATTTGTAGTTTTCTTGATCTGTTCTCAAAAAAACACAACTACTACTTCCTAGAGGATTTTCTTTCCTGTGGAAGTTCTTTACAGGAGGATCTTCAAGGTGCTCACTCACTCCTCTGTTCAACTAGGCAGCTACTCACCATGTAAGAAGCAAAGATGAGAACACGTTTGTGTTTTCCACAGGGCCACTGAGGGTCGTCCAGAAGATTTGGATCGTACTCTGCTGCTTCCCCAGCTTCACTCCCTGAAGGAACAAGGAAAGCACAACAATGAGCTGTAAGAGACAGAGCTTTAAGTTCTGTTTTCTCTTTAATAAAGAGTTCAAACAGCAAACATCAGAAGTGTTGGCAGACCCCATTAGGCAGATAAACTGCAGCTAGTCACCTGTTTTCATTCCACAAATGAACGAGTCAATATTAGATTTATTTAAAAACAAACCAGCTCCATCTCTAACATATGCCAAATGCACCGTTTTAGACAGTGCACGCTAACAGTTTGTCTTCCAGAAACATGCACAGAGAACAACTGCAGAAGACTGGATTTTTGCTTATACTCAAATCTAGCAGACAACAGCATCATCAGGTTTGCTCTTTTACACCACAGAATGTATTCTTGTCAAAACCCTTGGTTTATGCATTGTTACAGTGCTAAAAGGCAAGGAGGACCATCTGTACCCACACACACCAGGTGTTTCTTGTTGAGTAACATAAAACTCCACATTTCCAAGGAAATGCTTTGCAGTCCTTGAATTTCAAAAACTAGGCCAAATATACAGAGGATGTAAGGAATGCAAGCAAGTTTCAGTCCTAAGACTCAGCCTCTGTACTTCATTAACAAGCCTTCTTTGCTAGGCCATGATAAAACCAGTCTCCTTCCAAACCCAGTACATTTGTCCCAATAATACACTTCACCACTTGCAATTGTTTCAGAAAAATAAACTCTTTTCATGCTTTTCTGCTGTATGCACAAGTGGTGACAGTGCTAGAAGCCGTCCTTACCAAGCTCCGTTCCTGCTGGAATCGTTTTTGCTGTCACAGGTTTGTATCTCGATCCGGGAAGGCTCCTTGAAGCACTAGCTCGACATGAAGGAACAGCGCTGTGGCTGTCAGCTTTGCGCACAACTAGGGCGTTGGTTGGATACAGGAATTTTGCATAGGACACAACCTTCAAAAAAAAAAAGTTGTAGTTATAGGGGAAAAAGTATCGAAAGCTTATTTCCAGACACCAAGGATTTTATAACTCAGATCTACAGAGTTTCTATTTGGGAGTAAAGGCCTTAGAACTGGGGGGACAGAAGGAAGGGAAAGTTGAGCACAGGAATACTGTACTTTTGTGACTTCAGGATAGATGCACTGTAGAGGATTTGGGGGGATAACAAAAAAAAGGGAGAATCACATCAACAAAACTCTGTCAGTAAACAGATTTAACTGAAGAGGTACAAGTTTCACCCATATTTTGTTTTGACAAAAAGAAAATGTTTTGATTAGAATATCATTTACATGTTGCCTAAGATACCAGAGTCAAAACAATTCTCCAGAAATGGAAGCAGAAGTCACCAGGGACTTTCACGTCCTCCTCAGAAGCAGCATCATGACAAGTCAAACATTTCAGATTTTAAGAATCTAAATTTCCACTGCTTTCTAACATTACAGTTCTCACTTTATGCAATGCTGTGCCATACAAAAATTAAGTAATTTTCCTGGTATCAAATGGTCACAACAGTGAAAGGAGCCAGCTGACCCACCATCATCCCTGTGCCGGTCACTGGTTCGGTGATGGAGATCAAGAAATAAAAATTATTTCCTTACCTTGCCGTCAGCGCCTAGCTCTACTCCTTCCATCCCAAGGACCATCTCAGTGGAGACTGAAACTCCCCCAGAAGGATGTCGCTGCTTCTGTCCTTCCATTTTTAGATCACTAAATGAAGACAAGAAAATGCACAGTTGGAAAACGTACCACAACCTCAGCTTCCTTTATGGTAAACACCAGGCTGATCCTCTACCTGCAGCCAACACCACGTGGTCAGAGTTCCATTACACAGAAACAGTGCAATCCCTCAGCCCCATCTCCAAGCAAGTATTAAATTTTAAATACTCAAAAATGTGAAGATACTCACTAACTCAAAAATCATATTTCATCTCATTTTAAAAATCAGATTTGTACCAATGTACCTAGAAAAGGTACTTCTCTTTTTTTTTTTTTTTAAAAAAAGTATGATCTTCCTGCATAAGGCTATACCATTTGTAATACACTAATGCTCAAATACTTAACAGCAAATGTGATTTACATTACTAGTTTTCCTGGATTAGAAACTTGCCTTTCAATTGCAATTTTTCCAACCACTGTGCACACAAGCTCACACTAAGAATTAGGGCTACAAGCAGAACTGTTTCAGCGATGGCAGCGTGCAGCTTTGTCACCTATATTCCGATGCAAAAAAAGCAGCTTTCAGTTGAAGCACTGCATCGCCAGCTTACACACAAGCAGAACGACACCGTGCTCAGAAATGCTCTAAAATAACTCCAGTGACCTTGCTGCTCTTCAATTAAATGAAAAAACATTTTCCCATCAACTATTTTTATAGCAAGTGTATTTGAATACAATACAATTCCCACCACTAAACATCCGTTTCCTTCTTCCATAAGTTACATACAGGACAGAAGTGGCAACACAATTGTTTTGGCAGAAGTGGATTAAAATAAAATGAGTATTTTCTGTGGTATACTAGTAGATCAGGCCTTCACAGAATCAACTTAGAGCTCATACAAGACTGAGTAAAGCTGCAGGCAAGTCCACTTGGCAGGTTTTGGTTCTCATATTTGATCATATTTGTAGTTCTATATAAAAATGGAGTGCAAACATTTAAAGCAGAATCAATCGGTATCAATTGGGTTAAACTGCTTCTGTTTTTCTTACACTACAGTGACATTCATGGCTTAGGATAGGTGAAAAATGGAAGAGTTTCTTAAACTTATAGATTAACTACTAAACTTTGAAGACTTTCTAGTAAAGAACGTAGCATCCTTGTCTGATGTACATGGCAACAAGCCACATTGTACTCAAAGTTGATTTCAAGGATTTCACAGGACTGCAGTGTTTGAAACACGAACACAGACCTTAAGAGAGGTTTGCCCTTTTCCAATATTTTCTCTAGAAGTTTCAATGAACACCAACGCTGCAGCAACATCTGATTTTACAGTGCTGATAGCAAGTTCTTGTCCTTACATGTAAGCAGCAAGTCAAGTACATTCACCGGCTTCAAACAGAAGACCTATACTATCTACACTCATTTAAAAAGATATTTTGCAAACAATAGACCAGAGATTTCACAAAGTGGTTAATGATGACTCACCTGATTCGTAAACTCTCCCCGTAAGGTAGGATCGAAAAAGCCACGCACAGTGTTCGTTTAGCACAGATTAATACTATCCTGTAAGCAGAGGGGAAAAGATCAGGATAAGAACTGAGATTCAGAAGTTACAAAACATTTTTTTATAGACTGTGAACACTGGATTCCTCTTCAATCGCTCTGTAAGTTACACAGATACTGATACAGATTGTATGTTTCCAGAAGGCAGCACAGAAGCAGAGGTTTCCTTCTGACCCTGCAGGGCCTCAGAGCCAAGCTCTGTCTCACACTCCAGCTCTGGCATCACCCTCAGAGCTCCTCAGATATCTGTCATAATTATATATATTTTATTTAAAATCAATATATTTTAACAAATATTGTATATTTAGCTGGATGATGGTACTACTCCTAGGTCTCACACATCTAACAATAATAAATACGAATGCAACCCATTCTTTTCTGCTCAGCAGCTAAGAGCCAAGAACTTGGATAAAACAAACCATTCTCCTTACATCCTCCTCAGCCTGACCTGTCTTTGTGCTAGAGATAAGGACGGTGTTAGGAGAGAATGAATTAACTTCCTCCCTTTCTCCTCAGAGCAGAACAGCAGAACCATCAGAAGATTGCTGCAGATGTAGCACCTACCAGCACCTACTGCCCTCAATATAAGTATGTTTAAAATTAGCAAGACCACAAGGACATTGCATTATTCCACTGATATTAAAAATCTAATCACACTGAACTGGAGTTTACTTATGAGCACACACGAGTACAAGGGGCACAGCTGAAGTTACCTGCTGTTTTTTGTGTCATACTGCCTCATGTTCTTGATGAAGTGCATCTTCTTCAAACTTTTGTGCCTTGGAGACCCAGATATATTCTTGGTTCTGCAATTGTAAGAAGAAAAAAAAGTATCTTAGGTGCTCTGGCAAAAAGCCATGCCAGTTTTATGATCAGATGGCAGCACTAGCATGCAGGACCTCAGATATTGGCGTGGAAGAGGGTGGAGGGAGGAGAGGACTGCATGCAACGAGTTAAGATTAATGCTGCTTTTGAAAAAAAGTACCTTTGTACACTGGCATATTCCACTATGTCTTCTAAAAAGTCTAGAGAGCAGCGCTGGGAGATAAAACGCCTTCTGTAAAATGTACAACACCATGAAGAGTGAACAATATTAGTTCATGGCCTTGGAGTTTATGAACTGCAACAGATCTATGAGCTCTTAGGACAAATGGCAGCTTTTTTGGGGGGGATTTGTTTTGTTGTTAGAAGAGTGCTTACCAAGGTGTTTCACATTCCCAAAAAGGCCAAGAACTTGTTACCCCCTCTAGGAACTGTAAAATCGTTCACTTTGAGTACACATTTATACTGACTTCAGTAGCAAGAGCATTCACTACCTTCAACACAAAAGAACACCTATCCATAAGTTAAACACCTAAAAAGCTTCCCAATATTTCTTACAGGATTTTAAATAAGTATCACAAAAAGCTCCCCGTGTGCATCAAGGCAAGGAAGAGAGTAATTTTATATTGATCTACCAACACGTATATATACGGATATATCTGTATGATGATGGAACGTCTGTATTTGTATTCCTGATTCAGAACACTGTGCTCCTCCAGCAGTAGGCTTCAGCAGACCAAGAGTCCATGACACTAGCCCAATAAAACTGACAGATCTCTCCGGAAAACAATAGAGAGGACCATTAGAGGAAGCTAAGAATATTCAGGGCCCATCTGAAATCCCAGAATTGAAGACACAAGGAGAATAATAAGAATCTTGTGAGTTACTTTAGCAAAAATAAGATATTACACTTAAGCAAAAACAAAAACAAACCACTGCCAAGTAAGATGCATTATGATCGCCAAAGTCAAATTACTCTTTGTGGGTGGAGATTTACAAACAAATTTGGAATCTGGCTGCAATTTCCGTAGGAACAAGGCATTCAGATTCAGCTAAAACACTGAATCACCAAATCACTGACACTACAACTATCAAATTCTGTTGTTGTTTTTTTTTTCCTGCTTTTGTTTAAGCATACGTCACGCTGTGCTTTTAGTACAAGCCACATGCATTCAAGTCCCAGGTTTTCTTCCAAAGGATCATCATAACCCAACTGATGGTCGGTATTGCCATGGACGCCAATTGAGAAGAAGGTAACTAGATATAATCTGTGGGATGCTCCTTTGACCAGATCAACTTTTGGAAAAAACTCAGACTTAAAACTCCACATATTTTTACCTCTGGAAAAACAATAAATACATTGAGAAAGAAATTATTGCTGTTTACTAGAATTTGCAGATCTGTAATGCAGAAGATAGCAGTCCTGCTGCTGTGGAGAATGTGTGCTCAAGGCTACGCAGGTGTAGACCATGGGAAAGCTCCGAAGTCCTCAAGAACAGTTTCCAGAGCTCTTGTGTACATGAGCAGCCAAACCACTCAAAGAGACCACGGCCAAGCTCTCGTGCTTGGAAGTTAATGTGCAACACTAAAACGAAACCACGGCACCTTGGGTGGTGGGGAATGGAGGGGGCAAGGAGGTCAGACAAAATGGGATTTTTAATTGCTAAGAACTATGGATGAGCTTTTACAGCAAAGATTTATAGCTTCAGTTGATTCAAGTTAAAGGTCAAAAAAAAAAATGCTCAGGATTTAGTCTGGTCTTGAAGCCCAGCACTTAAGGATTTGGAAGTAACTTGACAATCTGCTAATCCTGGTGACTTTGCCTTCTATCCTTCAGCTGAGCTGGGTAAGAAACCAAACCACACCATTTTGTTGCTATATAAGAGATACACCAGAGCTGTCCAGCCTATTTTGGCTTCTAACGTGCAATAAGAAAACACCTTTGTGAAACGTGGAGGCCAGTCTCAAAGGTCCTGGAATGAATTGCAGTTCTCCATGTCCCCAGGCTTCCTCCCCTCTAGTTCAAGGAGACCAGACTGGATGAAGACAGAAAGCAGCCTTGTATGGTGAGCAAAGGAAAAGCAAAGCTAAAACCAAGAACAGACGTTGGTATAAAAAAAAAAAAACAAACGCAAAAGGTTCTTTAAAAGGATGCCAGCATAAGGTATCAGTAAGGGTGCCAGATTGACCACCAAAGTGCTGGGCCACTACAGTAGAGACCCATCAGAAGCCCTAAATCTTCTGAACACTGCTGCACTTCCCCAGCAATAGGGACAAGAGCACAAAGCACCTGAACCCACTGCTCTGTGAGAGCCTCTCAGTAAAATGCTGCTGCAGCGAAAGGAAGATCCTGCCCCTTCGCTCAAAACCACAATGACTCATCCCCACTGTGCCAACAGGAAACTTGATTTTTAGCTACACTTCAGCTTCACTTGAGGACAGAAAATATCTGTCACCTTGGAGAAATTCAACACACTAGGCAAGATACTCTCCTCAAATCTCAAAACGGGGAATACGCAAAGAGGTCTCACTAATCCCAGCCACGCTAAACAGGTCGCGTGCCCAAACATTTTACAAAGAGAGACTTGCTGGATTTCTCAGCAGCACTAATCAGCAAAGCGTCTTTATTAGAGCATCCTTGGAGCATGCTGGAAGCTATCAAGACTTCCTGAGTAGTACACACCCAGCCTGCAGACTGTTTGGGTTAGTTTTGGTGCTCTTCTCATGCAGTAATTCACACCTCAAGACCAGGCAGCACATGATCACTTCAGGAGCTGCTGGATCTTGCCTGATGAAAAAGAGTAGTCATGTCCCCTGGGCTAAGCAGATTCATCTAGGATAACACCTCTTGTTGTGCTCTGATCCACAGGAGTTCAAAGGATTTTAAGTCATTTACACAGCGCATCTGTTGCCAAACGCGACCTAAATACTAAAGCAGCACACCAAAATCCATACCCGCGCTGTCAGTTATCTTACACACACTCCTACTGACATGCTACTTGATAATTAGAAATCGAATCATCCAATGTTAAAATTTTAATGAGTTCTATGAAGCAGGCTGTAATTTCAATAGGATCCTAAAAGAAAGCCCAGGCCTGTCAGCTAATACCAGCTATTTCCTTGACAAGCTAGGGAGGGTTTGTGTGCTTGGAAGTCAAGTCTTGGTCAAGAATTCACTTTTTGGGTGCTTCCCCCACTATTTTAAAAGCCAATAAAAACAGGACCCACCCAGGGCTTCAACACACACGCAGCATGTGCCCAGAGATAAGGGACTATCGAGCAGAGGGATTCTGGATTGGGGCTGGGTTTGTTATCTCCACACACACACACGGCCACGCACAGTCCAACAGCGCTGCTCAATCTGTGGTGAGCTGAACGTGGACGTGGAAAACACCTCATGATCAGATAAAAGCCAACAACTCCAGCAGCAGCCAGCCCACAATTTATCCTTTCTGGTGGACTTCCCACTAAACAAACCCCACTTCTGAGGGCTTCAGACATCTGTCCTCCTCGGGCCCTGCCAGCGTCCTAGTGAGTGCCAGAGAAACTCTCCCAGAGGGAGACGACAATGGAGAGGCAGCACACGGGACTCCTGGCCAGGGGTTTACTCAGCTCTCAAGTGTTCCCAGCAGGACAGGACACGGCTGAGAGCAGTCTATGTATAGCACCGGTAATCCCTCAGTGTCCTGTCTTGCAAATTGAAAGGAAAAATCTGTCTAAGTCACAGCTTCAGATTAAAGACCAGTGACCTTTCAGATGGCCTGCCAGAGTATTTCCCCTTGCCTACCCACAGGCTAGGCCGCACAGGCATCCCAAAGAACAAGAGGAAAGTGTGAGGACGTTGCTGTAGTTGGAGATTCCTAAAACAGCCACTCTCAAACAGATACCCTGTAAAATGCAAGAAGTGCAGCTGTCATTTGGCCCTTTTGAAGCGTCCCTGTTGAGCCCTGCTGGTCCCTGTATTTCTGCCACAGCATAGGGACTGACTGACAGCTCTCCTTCCTTCCTAAGGGAGAAGTCAGAAATTTCTAAAATCTGACTGGGATTCTCTTGTCCTAATTAACCTCCCCTCTCACAGGGACAGGTCTGCGCCCTGTGCCAACCCTACAGCCAGAGGGGCCGTTCGATCAGCATTCAGCTGCTTTCTCCCATAACTTTATCTCTGAGCCATGCAGCATCTGGAGTCTGTCTTCTGCCTGACCTCTTACCACGATTGCTCCTAGGGCAGGGTCAAGCAGGAGAGGAGAAAGCCTGCACTGCTGTCTGACACCACGATTTCAGCCTCCTGCACATTTTTCCACTTTAAAAGTAGTACCTTCCTGTAAACATTTGCAGAAGGCTATTAAAGTAATTAATGGATTGCTGGTGATGCTTGCTGGGGTGCAGAAGAGTGGAAGTGAACTGCCTCCAAGCTAGAGTGCCTCACTGCCCTGCAGGCTGTCCTTTAAGATGCTCAAGTGATCACAGAGAAAGGAGAACAATACCTAAGCTGAGTGTTAAGTTGTTCATATTATCCTTCCTCAATATATCGGCAGCATTTCCAGGAGCTTCTTCTCTTGTCACACTTTTACAGGTGAGTTTAATGATCTCAACACTGCTCTCACTGAACGAGACAACCAGATCACATGCTGCTCACTTTCTGCTGAGTTAGAACAAATTTCTATTTGACCACTAAACCAGCCATTCTCTCTCTACTGTAGGAAAAAGTAGGAAGCAAGCCAGATGATCTGAAGAAAAGGAAGGCAAAAGTAGAGGTTGCACTCAACCTAAATTTTTGCTCCAAAATATCTGAGCTCCTTCCATCCTCTAACACCACTGAGAGCAATGGTGTTGAATTAACCAAGACCACGTTAGTTTCCTAGTTCTGTAGAAAATGCTTTGTGTATGTGGTTTGGGCATGGCAGGTTTGCTGTGGGATGGCTGTCCTCACATCTGATTTTCTCTTCACCTATGCAGCAACAAAAATCAAAAAGCAGGAGAAGAG